TCCTGTTCACTAATGTTGAATGTTAGAACAACGTTGTTGTTTATTTTTTGATTAATTCTTATTTAATTTATACTTATTTTTTGTTTAACTTCTTTTTAATTTTTATTTACCATTTGTTTGATTTTTATTCATTTTTATTGATTTCTTATCTATTTTTTAACTTTGTTAATTCTTCGTTTAATTTTTATCCAATTTCTACCCCACCTTTTTCATTTTTATTTATTTTTTGCTTTTTTAATTCAATTTCCGCTTGATTTTTATTCAATTTTTATTTAGTTTTTTTTGTGTTTACTTTGTTTGTTTTTTATTTCACCTATATTTATTTCTTATTCATCTCCTATTTGATCAGAATATAGGTTGTAGCTCTAACTAGTTCGAGGAATATCAAACGCGTTGAACTTGAAGTCATTACGCGTAGTCGCGAAAAGGTTGACCTTTATTTGCCGTGTCGATAGCCAACATTTGTCGCAGGTGTCTCTTGTTTTCCTGCCGACAGATATCCTAACACATAGCGCTAGATGTTCAATTGCGGTACATTACATTATGGGAAGACGCCCAACTTTATCGGTTACGGTCCTGCTTGGTTTTGGGAAGCATTTTCTCGACAAATAGGGGACTTGAGAGGTTTCGAACATGAAAGGATTGCAGAACAAGGAAGAACTATGCTCCTACATATTTCCACATGCTTGCAACAAACCATACGGGACTCACACATTAAGCCACACCCGCGACCAACACCGTTCTGAACTTCGTTCGTCACTCTTACATCCCGCTCTTCCGAGGGGATGGCAAAAATTGGCGAATACTCATGAATGCTCCAGTGCACGGAAATCTTTAGTAAAAGGCGAAAGATTTTCTCGGTTAAATGCACTGGAGCCAGTGACGCGAATAGCACCCACATGCTCCGCACTACGCTGTGAAAGTCGTATATCCCACAGGTTTGCCCTTGCCGCACAGCGTGCACTGATTCTTGTATTCATCATTGCTAAGGTCCCGTTCGAATGCTGTATAATAAGGTAGGGTCATTCCTGAACGGCAATAACTGCTTTACAGAAAGGACAGTGCTGAGGGACACAAAGGTCGGTACCACTTTGTAATGTAGCCATTTTCTGACAGGTGAATTTGGACGTTCAGGAGTAGAAGCCATTTTTCTTTCGGCTTTTCTCGGGTGAACGTGGTATGCTCTGATACACAGTCAGAGTGGTACCGAAAGCCAAGTAGTAAAAACATCTTGGTTCATTACCTCTCCTCTTACCTCTCTCACACGAAAAGGGCGCTTATAAGAAGCATGTTTCGAACAGCAACCAACGTGTGCACGGGAAGAGAGCAGAGGAGTCCCGGAACTTGGCGCGGCAAATAGCCATTTCTAATGGAAACTGTGCTCAGGATAGGTGTAGGGGAAGTCCTAGGCTTCCAAACGACAACTCTAGCGTTAGAAGGGTCCCGTTTATCCTACTCTTCATCTCAAATAATGTAAGTGCAGCTATAAAACGCTGCTTAAGAAGGGCGGGTTTAGAGAATTCGGTAAACGTAGTTGAAATACCACCGAGTAATCTTAAGCGCCAGCTAGTTCGTAACCGCCTATATGGCCGTCTATGTGCAACTCAAAATTGCATAATTTGCCCCAGTGGTAGAGACGGTGATTGCATGAGCTCGGGTATAGTTTATCTGATCTCCTGTAAGACGTGCGGAGACGAATACATTGGCGAAACGGGCAGACCTCTCTGTGTCCGCATTAAAGAACACCTAGCCCGCAAACATAGACCAAATACCCCGCTAGGCACGTATAGGATCCAGAGACACAACAGGGAGGACTTTGAAGTATGCGTCACGATCCTCGCACACGAATCAAGAACACAAGGGCGCAAAGCTCACGAGGCGTTCTGGATTAATTCCAGAAATCCGAAAATGAACCGTAGGGAAGAATGCCTCATTATCATGCGTGATATTGGACAGTATATAAACCGGTTATTCTGATAGGAGGGGCACATTACGCTTCCACGTGGTTTCTATGCGATTGCTCTTCACGCGACATACTTAGTGGAAACCTTGTAGAAAGCGGTGACTGTGCAAAGCTGTGTTCAATGTGATTGAAATCTTGGTTTAGAGTTTCTCTGTTTGGTTATTGAGGCGTCTGGCCGGGTAGATTGCTATCAACTTGACCTTTCCAGGCTCTGAGGAAGGTGAAATCCGCCGAAACGTCAGCTTATTCGTGAATAAAGAATAATAACACCTCGCGTTTGCTCAATAGAAATACGAAGTGATGGCATAGTTTTACTTATAGTTCGTTCATCTTCAGATATAGTCATTGAACTTCCGTTCCTAGTTGAATTTGACTGATGTAGATCTCTTAGTACGTTGCTGCTTAACATGCAGAAGCCTGCTCGCTATAGCGAGCAGATAAACCAAAAAGGGGTCCTAAATTTATTTAGCGATTATGAAAAAATAATGTAGATACGATAAGACTTATTTTTATTCGAGAGTGCAAACCTATTATAATAGAATCTGAAATAGATGCAAACATAAAATTTTGCACTCTCCAAAAAAAGTCTGTCAGTGCAAATGTTTTTGGAAGGAAGTACAAAATGGTTCCGTATTATAGTGTACTGCCCGAAGGAAGATTCACCAACTGTTTTCGACAAGCTAAAAAACGGAGTGTTATTCGAAGCTTGGTTTCAACCAGCGTTGGATTTCGACACCCTATGGCAGTTGCGGGTGTGGCTTAACCAAGTTTAATTTCAAGATATTGGTGCGAAATAGTTTGCCAAGAGTTGAAGTGAACGTTCTCGCGACTCGGGAACAATTTTTAATATGAATGACCTTTTTTGTTTGGTGTTATAAGTTTTCTCCTCGAAGAGTTATCTCCTGCTGTTTAGTCGTGGTGCGTCCACAGGTGCCGAAAAGAGAGTTAATCAAGGACTGAAATCGGGATTATGCTTCCCTGAGACACAATTCGATCCAGGGCACGGATTCCCACTTCCGCTTCACCGCCTTGACCCATAACTGTTGTGTTTGCAAGGCATATTTGTGCATGCGTGCGTTGGTCTCCTTTATGCGGTTTTTATTCTATCAGTTGTTTCGACGAAATCTTGGCAATTAAGCGACAGAGAAATTTATAGGAACCCGTTAATAGTTGCCTCCAACAAATAAGGCCCCCCCGACTACCCTGAAAGGGTTTACCAATCTTCATGTAAGTATATCCAGCACCCACATTCTGTGGTCGGCAAGTTATACGTGGGTGTCAAACGCTAAAAAATAAAATAAATGGTCTTCATTCTCCCAACCTCGAAAAGGACCCCCATACGTCACCGATGGGTATGACGAGTGCAGACAGGCTGCTAAAATCTCAGGATTGTTCTACGCTATCTATATCGCAAAGGACTAAGGAAAAGATCTTACCTATAATGCATGCACACTTGCATCTGAGTCCTCGATAGGTGTTATTAAAGCTGAGAGTTAGAAAATCACTAAGAGATATCTGTGTCAGGATATACTGGAGTCGATATGCCAACGCTGAACTGCAGGAGCCCAGGCATTCGCAAACTGTAGTCCGAGATTGTAAAACAATGTAGACAGACGATAAAGGAAGATCTTAAAGAGAGAAGAGCAGCAGTTATGGCCAAAGCTGAAAAGCTAGGGAAAACATCCCCAAAGTCCACCGAAATCTCGCCAATTACAAGACCAAGATGTTTGCATTCTGACGCCGAGGCGGAACGTTTACAGCTTGCAGAAAGGTCTCTTCAGTAACCACCTACTCCCCTCATTTGGAATAGAGGACGAATATATGCGTTACACCATTTCACCCTTTCGAAATCGATCATGCAATTTCGTCAGTGAAAAATTGAACAATGCCATGTTCGTACAGGATATGATATGAACACCTGATGAACCATCCGCCAGTCGTCATAAAGACACTTGCTCTGATCTTAACACGATACTTGCCAGAAAACAAGCTTCCTATTCAATGAAAGACCAGCAAAACCATGTTATTGTTCCAAAAGAATGACATTCACGTTATCGGCAGTTATTGCGTAATCCGCTTGCTTCCTGTTCTCTACAAACTTTTCGTTCGAATTATGTTAAACAAGATGGATCAAACAATGGATGAGGGACAGCCATGTAAACAAGCTGGGTTTCGACAAAGCTTTAGAACAATTGACCAAATCCACATGATAACAAGACTCATTGAAGCACCGTGGGGGTACAAGAAACCGCTCTGTTTCACTTTAATCGGTTTAAAGAAGCTTTTGACTCAGTTGAGATAGAAGCAGTCATGGAAGCCCTGGACAGTCAGAGAGTCGCTACTCAGTACATTAAGACTCTTCGTGAGCTGCACAAAAATTTCACAACCAAGATATCGCCATTCTGCAACGATATTAACATTGACAGGAGTTAGGCAAGGCGATACCATCTCCCCAAAATTATTTACCGCCACCCTCCACAACTTCATGCGAACATTGGAATGGGATAATATAGGAGTGAAAATCGATGGTCGGCTGTTACACTATCTTCGCTTTGCTGATGACATCGTCCTTATAACACCAAGCATTGAACAAGGAGAATGAATGCTGGCCGGCTTTGATAACATTTGTTGTTGAAAGATTGGCTAAATCTGATGAAAACGATATTCATGAAGAATGGGTTTGTTTCGTTTGCCGATTAAAGCTGAACGGATGGATATCTATAGGTGCACCATATACGTCGGGAACGACTTAGCTCCAGTGTTGAGCAGGAGGAAGCGAGCGGTTTGGGACCTGTCAGGAGTGTCAAGGATGTAGTGAGCAGAGCAAAGAAGCTCTTTCAGAAAACACCGGACCCGCTGCCCACCTTTTCGGCCCCACGATTCTCGCAGGCTTAACCTACGCGTCAGAAACTGGTCGTTACGTACTTTTATTCACTCAGTTATATGATGATCTGATACAGTTAAATTTAGTGTTGAAATTCGAATCTTCCTTCAGAGCTTTTTATTATATGTGTGGGATGTTAAATTTTTTCTCGAAATGGTTAGAATTGCCAAATTTAAGGGTACTGTACCAATATACCTTGCATTTTTAACATTCCCACTGTTGAATTTCAAATCGCCTACTTTCTTCACGAAATTCAACGTACTGGGAACACTTTCTGTATTCTATTTGCTAGCATTCACAGCAGCAAAACTTTTCGAGTGCGGGTTCAATATGGATTTCACTGATCGTGAATCTATTCATTATGCTAAGCGTAAGTTGTTTACTATAACTGCTTTCCAGTTTCTACAAATTTTTTACCTTCTTCAGCCTTCAGCTGGAAATTTCCTGCCTTAACCGGTACGATGACACTTTCTTACTTCATCCACAATGCTGTTCTTACCATTCTTCGAAACCAACATAATCCAGAGCATAATGTGCGTGAGGCCTTAGTATTATTATATACAATTTCCATTTATAAACAAATGTTTCATCTCGTAAATATGGGGTTTTTGGTCTTTTTTTAAGTGGTGTACTTAAATTTTCCATCCTTACATTTTGTCATCTCGGGGAGAGCCAGGTTCACTAACAATTTAAAAATGTTTTAACATGATTGGTGTACCATTTATTTGATCGCATCGATCTTGTTCGTTGCGTTGCTACTACTCGAATGCTTGGGCTCTTGAGTATTCCTTCTTTATGAATTGCATCGGGTCTGTCACCTTCCAGTTAGATTTCGACCGTGCATAGCGAAGTGGTTGACCTTCTAGAACTATGTTTCATGTTCAAAAAGTTTTTTCTGTTGGTTTAAGTACAAAATTATTCTGATAAATGTTCACATATCGACCATTTATTGTTCAAAGAATAGCTTACCTTTACCCCTTTTAATGTGGTTCACATTTCCTTTTTTTTAGACTCGTGATCTTGCGATTGGTTATTTGTTGGCGGTGGTTTGCTATGTTTTCATTGGTTTCACATTTTATGCAGGCTTTCCTGTCTATAGAAATTGTATAAGTGACGTGAGTCCCTTCGTGCATTCGTTAACTCGCTCTAGGCTACATGATTTATGGCTCATGCGTTAAGGAGCAAACTGACCGGCATGAGCAAATATCTCATTTTCTTTTCGCCTATCTATTTCGTTACATCGCCACGCTTATTCTTTCGATAGCTAACCAACACGGATGTATTAGCAACAGCGACAAAAGTCCTATTTGAGTAAAAGAATGAAAAAAAAAACAGTTTCTCGAATGATTTGCTTGTCTGGTTTTGTGTGGAAGGACTAATTGTGCACATAGGGCGCACTCATCAAGGCATTTTCGCGAAATCTGTGTTTTGAAGCACTACAAAATCGCAACTATGATGCTAATAACTTTTTATTGAAGTTGTGAGCATTGCGCTCAAAGATATCTGCTGCGAAACCCCGAGTGTTTACAGTGTTCTTTTTGCACAGTCTATAATCATGACCACGACAACCATTGAAACAACCCAACTTTTAAGAGTCAATAATCATCGCAAGAGGCGAATAGCACAGTGGTAGTGATGCCGATTATCACGAGTGTGGTGCTCGTTCGACTCCGCACGGCGTCCACTTAACGTCTTATCCATCAGGGGTCATGAATTTAGTAACACACTTGTCTGGAACAGTTCACTTCCTGCAGTCCAAGTGGGAACGCTTTGGCTCGGCTGTACCAGGCCTCCCGTAGAAGCCACTCGACCAGCATTCAACGAGATTCGTATAGAAGACGGCAATTCTCATCCAGTAGGCTAACCCACCCGCGAAAAGCTTGGAGATCTTCGTGGATGGTAGTTATGAGGAAACGAATCGAGTAAAAAAAAATGATGGTATCAACACAATAGATTTGAAGATGAGTCTTACCAAAAAAAATTTTTTTTCGCCCTTTTTTTGCTCATTCCTAGAGTCGAGGATCTGCGAAGAGTAAGAGAGAGGAAGGTGGGTGGATGTGCGAAAAAATCGAGATTTCATAATATGGCCTTTTTTCCAAAGATAAGGAAGGTTACGTCGTACTGGCTCATGTTGACCGTCTTTTTTTCGGTCTCACTTAAAGCTGATCATGTGAAGTTTGATGTGGCTTGCGGCACCAAAGAGCATCAGCATAAAGGTAAATTGTTCCGGGTTTGTACGTTCAATGCAAAAGCTAATCTCTGCGGTATTTCCTGAATGCGTTGTTTTGATTCCGACCAAATAATATCCAATGTTTCCATGTGTTATTCAAAAAATTTACAAATGCCTCTTTTTTCCTATTATTTAAAATTCGGCATGTATTCTTTCAAAACACTACGCGATATTGTCCTTTATGTCAGTTTTATTGAGTTCTCCTGTCTATAATTTGAATTATTAAGTTTTTCGGAAATTAGTGCAGGATTTCAATCAGTACTTCTAAAAGAAAGGGTGCGTGTGACGAAGTGGTCGCAGGCGCCCTGCAACACACCGCGGAATCGATCCCCGCGCCCATAGCCCATCAAGCCTTCCATCCTTCTAGGGTCGACGAATTGGCACTAAACTCGTCTGGAAGGGCAGCAGCGCTGGCTCGATACATCGGTAGGCTACCGCGAGCCATTGTAAAGGCCACATATGCATTCAATCACCTCCAAACGATCCTTGATGAAGTCGAGGGTATAGCGCATCTCTCAAGGATTGATCAGCGCTGAGAGCCTTTTTTCACTTTTAAAATCACAGAGTAAATCTTGTTAATCCAGGTAGGATCCGATGAAGTTATTGAAAGTCATCAGCAGTTTTAGCCTCCATGTGTTTCGTGAATCATTTTTCGCACAAGGACTCTGAGTCTCTCAGAAATGCAGCCTATTTTATAAACCTACTATACAAAATGAAAATCCATAAAATAAGCATTGAGTTAATATAAGATATTACGGTATCCGGAAAAAGCTGTTTCTGAAACATTTTCAAAAGGAACAAAACTGAAAATCTGCGTAAATTCCCGAATAATCCAATATTTCATTTTCTTCACATTTGGCGGCTCTGTACTTGGTGAGGTTTTGTAACTGTAAGTAGTGCATATCAAATTTGCATGTCTTCAGTTTTTCTGTTGGTGACGTAATATTTTTGCCTTTAGTAGATCAAATCCTCACGGTCCACATCAAATGTCTCATTTAAGGTTTTTGTCATGGTGTTGTATATTCAGAATTTCCTCAACAATTTTGGTCCTGGTGACATTCTCAGCAGCACGGCACGATTGTTCCTTCTTTTTCAAATGATTACGGTGTTGCCGCTGCTCATGTTCCTGATTAGATCACAACTGTGTTATGCTTTTCTTGGCAAAACATGGCCTGGGTAGGTTGGGCATTAAATTGCTTTTTCGTTTCTCTGACGTCTTAGATATCTTTAGATTCTTCTAAGCGATTCTAATAATTTTCAGTGTTGGACTAGTGTTGTTAATGAACTGTGGAATTATATGCATTGCAGTCGCGGTTGCCATATTATATCCAAATGTTGGAAGCATTCTTCGGTAATGATGTTTCGTATTAACTTTATATTGTGTAAGAAACAACTCGTCGGTCTTTGATTTAAGGAAGTGACATTGAAATTTTATGGAGTAAAGCTGTAAAGAAGTCTTTAGTATTCACATTAGATAGATTTTTACGATAGTTTATGTAATTAGATGACCAAAATATAGTTCTTCGATCTTCTTTGCTTTTCAGTTCTTTTAAGCTCTGTATTACCCATCAGATATTTTCATTGTTATATTTTTTACTCTATTTTATTTCATTTTTTGGCGCTTTCAATAATGTTTAACGTTTTTGTTTTCTGCCTTCTATAATTTTCATGGCAGGTTACTAAGTAAGCGAAATACAACCACAACGTTGCTGAGATATTTGCAAAACTCTGGACCGCAGGTGTCTATGGTGGGGAACGAACGCGCTATTGTCCTTTCCGGGGAGTAACGCGTTCACCACCACACCATGCGGGTCCTTTGTTTCG